ACCCTCGAGAGAATCCAGCTTGGCGGCGTTGATGCCCCACTCAAAGTATGACCTGAGGGCGGGAGGGTAGGGGGGTGAGGCGGTGGATCAGCCAGTGCGGTGCGGCGGGTGGCGGCGGCGGCGGCGGGTGGGGGACGGCAAGAGAGCGGGAGAGCGGGGCTGGGGGGCAATCAGCGGGAGGAGGTGTGGGGCGCCGGAGTGGCGCGGGGTTGGGGCCGGCAGCGCAGGCGAGGCGCTTTGGGCTGCCGCGCTCGGGGGGCCGTGCTGCTGCTGCAGAGGCGTATGCAGGCTGGGGGAGGGGCCCCCGCCGGCGCCGCCCACCTGCTGTTGGCCATCTTCCACAGCAGCCGCCGCTTCTGCTGTACCGCCTCGTCCCGCAGGTCGCGCACCAGGCGTACCGCTCCGCTGACCACCGTGGCCGCCAGCAGGCTTGCTGCGCGGCGGCAGAGAGGGGGGAGGCAGGGGAGTATTGGGCGGGCCTGGCGGGGGCGGGGTTCAGGCGGAGCGGCCACACGCTGCTGCCGCCATGGCGAGGGCCATGCATGAGCCGCCGCCCGCGGGGGTTGGGTGATGGGTGTGGGTGGGGCCTGCTTGACGGCTGCCCTGGCCCGTGCACAAGCGGCATGCACGGTCGCGGGGCCAGGCAGCGCGAAAAACGCAGGCAGCTGTGCAGGTCCCTGTGCGCCGCCACCCGGAGCGCGTGGCGCACCTGCCGCTAGGTGCCACCGCCGCACATCCACGATGCCGCCGCCGAGCCGCTGCAGGGCTCCGCTGCGCGGTGCCGCCGCCATGTAGCCTAAAAGCCGCAGCACGAAGCGGCGCAGGGCCTGGGCTAGGTGCCATGAAGAGGCGGCCCATCGCGCGGAGGTGCGGAACGGCGCGCCCAACACTCCCAGCACCGTCAGCAGCAGCCGGGGCGAGACTGAGGTCCAGGAGGAGCCCCGTGACGGTGAGAGGGCGGGTGGGCCCCAGCCCCAGAGCACCTCGCCACAAGCTTAGGAGACATG